GCATTTTGTTGTCAATTGATCATTCCGTAATCTATGCTCCTTCTCTTAATATTAAATATAAGTTGAAAAGCATTCCCCATTTGACTGCAACAGCGGTCATTTTTCTCTAAAATAATTAGAAGTAGGTGAAATACATTTCGATTAGTAGATTAAATCTTAAATTTGATTTTTTAAAAATAAATATTAATTTAATATTGTATTATTTTTTGTCACAAATAAATAAATAAATATAAGTTGGGAAAAAAAAAGAAGGGAAAAACAGCCTGTAGTACCATCAAAAGATGCTTTACCGACCAATTATAATGTCTTTGATTAAAAACAAGAACATTAGATCCATCTAATCCCAAAAGGTGATCACGGCCTGGTAAGGATCACATTCAAATATCCCTACTTAAAACCTACTACGATTTATATTTTCCGGAGTTGATTCAGTCGCAATCCCATCTCATCACACTATGAAATTCATGTAACACTAAATAAATATATATATAATTTGTGATTTTATAATTTAAATTATTTTAAACCATAAAGCAAGGATACGTAAATAGAAGAGTCTTGATATTAGAAACCATCCACATTCAAGAATTTGTATTTTACAATTCAAAATAATTCAAACGAATAAAATACTTTTATGATTAATATATATCAAATTAATTCAAGCACTTATTGGTGAAAAGAATCCATTAAAATTTTAAGTGAAACATTTTATTTAAAAGAGGAATTCATTTATATATAGATTTTACACATTACATTTATATAACATTTTAATCATTTATTTTTTCACTTTTAACAATTGAGATTTACTATATTTTTGAAGTAAAAAAATAATTATTTTTAATAAATATAAATTAATCTCAATTATCGATAGTTGAATGAAAGATAAATAGTTAAAATTTATATAAGTATAATATATAAAATTTATATAGAAGTATATTTTTACTCTTTTATTTATATAACATAACATTCCTAAAGAATTCTCAAATCTCCAATGGAAAAAAAAAATGATATATTTATCAAAATTAAGGGGAAAAAATCAATAATGGTTATTTACTTGGATGTGATTTTTTTTTTTCTTAAAAGTTCAATAATTCCAAATCCTTACACAAAGGGACCTTTTTTTGGATGCTGGGGCACTTTACATTCCAACTAGGACAGGGTCACCCATCAACACGAGCGGTTTACGAGTCCATTTAATTAGCAGCTATCAGAGGGAATGGATTGCACTGCCCACAAATGATGAATAGCTCAATTTTAATACCCACAAACACACCCCCATTTTTGTTTAAAGGTACTTCAAATTCCAACTAGGGTAGGGTGACCCATCAACACGACTAGTTATAGGTCCATTTAGCAGCAACCAGAAGATGGACTGCCCTGCCCATAAATGATTATGAACTTTCACTATCTCAACATAATGACCACCAGCATGAGGAGTTATTGTGAATATCCCTATGATATGAATCTTAGAGCCAACAAAAAAATTGACAACTAGTTAAATATGACTCAATTGTAAATTTTTTATTGACTACGAATATATATTAGAAGAAAAACAAATTTTTTTCCTTGAACACAAAAAATTATTTTCCTTGAACACTTTAGCATTAACCAATTCCTTCTCCCTAAAGCTTTTGTTGCTCAACTATTTTTTGGAGTTAGATGGTGTAACAGCCAATTCCACATGGAAGAAAAATACAATTATAAATAATGTATAAGTGTGGAAACTAACTCCTATTAATAAATTAAATTTAAACTTTTGAAAATTCGTAAATGTTAATTTAAAGAGATATAAGTCAATCAATAATAGACTTTAGCCTATCTTTTCTGGCTTAAATGCAAGTTAATTCATAATACGACCAATCGAGTCATGTACTAACCAACCTACTTCAAAGTGTCCCTATGAATTAAATTCCTTTTGCCGTAGCCCTATCTCTTGTTACCTTTGAGAGTCCCAAGAAGAGGCAAGAGGGGTCTTTTGTGGGGCATGAAAGTGCATACTCACTTCTCTTTGCTTCGTAAAGGCCAAGAGCATCTCTCAAGCTTTTTAAAGAGAAATCTCTGTCCCAATTCCTAGATCATGTTTATTGGTAACAAAACGGCCCCAAAACATCTAATTTTTCTCCGTAATAACATAATAATTAAGATTAGGCAGTCGATTAACAAAATGTCCACCTTTGCCTTTTGCTATGATTTTTATTATTTCTTGAACAATCCACTTTACATTTTGTCTTCCACCTTCCTCAAGAAAATGATATGTTGGCTAGCTTTGGATTTATAACATCTCTTGGTATTAGATTTTTTTTTTTTTTTTTTGACAAGGGTAATGGTTAGTAGTTAGGTTATGAATTGTTAATAATTAGAGATTCGATATCAAAAACAAGTGATCTCCTAACCCCCTCATTGAGACGTGTTGAGGCGCACGGCCCATCAACCCGCATGGTGGATTCGATATTAGATTTTTTTTATGAACATATAGTTAGGTAATATCATGATAAAGTCTATTTTTACACACAATATTAAGCATACCTTTTCAATCTAATCAAAGGAATCACGTCAACACTAGAAATTCATTGAGACATTCTCATTAATCTCCCTAAATAGTGGTAAATGACAAGGATTGATCCAATACCACATTGCTTAGAAAAATAGCCAGCTGTAATGCAAGTTTGTTTGGGCAAAGCAAAATGAAACACAAATTATAGAAGGTAGAGGAAATCATGATCATCTAATAATTGAACCAAATCATGACCCTAATTATTCGGATTAGCCAACTAAAATCAGATGTAGACTTCACAACTGATTACAGCAACATTGATTGCTTCCCTGAATAATACCAAAACCACCAAAGAAAACTCTGTTTGTTTTGCATTTTTTATTTTTTTGGGCCTCTACTTGCTAATCTCTTGATTATGATTCAATAGTGTAAAAATAAAGTTAGGTTATTGCATATAATATTTACACAAAAATATGAGGTCTTTTAGTGGTACTCAAGTTCAAAACTAGAAATAAATGAGAAGAAACACAGGGAATGGAGTATTTTTTTTTTTTACTGTATAACACATTATTAGGTGTAGCAATAATTTAGCTCTAAGGTAGAAAGTAGTCTCAATAAGTTTTTCCTCTTTTCTGTTTCTTTATTCTAATTTAATTTAAAGGGGGCTTTTGCGTGTAATTAAAGTGGCATCTCGTCACGTGATTGAGCAGCTTGCACACGTCAAATCTCAATATCTACACTCAAAAACTCTCAATATGCTTTAAAAATAACATTGGTAAATTAGCAATTTTTTTATACAGGTAGATTTTTTTTTTTTTTCCTAAGGGAATTGCGGGTAAGGAAGGGGGAATGTGGACAAGGAGGATTGAACCTAATGGTGTGGGAGGAGTACTCACACAATAACTACACAAGTTACACACCAAAGTTTTACATGTAGATTAAATTAATTAAACTAAAGTTATTGTGTTTGTATTCGTAACTAAGTACAAGTATCATGGTATATTGTTTTTTATTTTTATATAAAATAAAAAGGAAAAATGAACAAATAAAGATATTTTTATTTTTTGGGTGAAAAATTAGTCATGAAGTCATTAAACATGAACACATGGCGCAACCTGTGGCTAATTTTTCTAATTAATCCAGATCTAAACTACCAATCATATGATAATATGTGATTTATTGATGGCACACGGTTTTGTTTTTATTTGTATATACTTAGTATTATCAATAATTTTATATTATCTACCAGTACAACTATACTAATTAGAAAAGGGTATTTCAATCAAATTAAATAAATAAAAATATTAACACAGCTAGGTTAATTAATTAATTAATTAATTATGGTTGTTAGGAGTTAATGATTGGATATATATTTTTGGTCCGTAATGGGCCGTTGAGTTTGGATCAATATGGTAGGCCTTATATAAATAAATACAATTGGGCTTTTATCCGTCTATTGTACGGCAAGGTCTATTAGCTATGGTTAGTTTAATTTACAATTTAACCTCAGAAAAAGTTAAATTCACAAGTAGGTACTCTGCCCGACTGTCCCCACCAGCTTTTCTTTCTGTATCTTATTTACTTAATTACCTTTATTTTAAGTCAAAATTAAGCCTAATTATGCCGCCAGTTTAAGGCGTTCGTCACGGTTAGATCTCTACCACCTTTGTTTAATTTTAAATTATTAGAATCTATTTTTGAAAGGATAATGCATGTTAGTTTTAATTTTTAAAAAAATTAAAGTTTTATTTTTAAAATATTATTTTTTTATAAATATTTTTGAAAATCAATACTTATATTTAATATTTTATTTATGTAAATTATGTATATTAATTTTTATATTAATTAAATATATATAATTAATTCATTGATTTTAAAAAATTTATTATTATTAAATATATATTAAAAATGTAAATTTTTTGATTGAATAATTATAAATATTAGATTAATTTGTAAATTAATATATGTGATTTTTTTTTTTTAAAACAAATTTGCAAGAAATCAGATTCAAACCGATATCTTAAGAAAGAAAGATGTATTTATATGTGATCTGATGCTACTAGGATCAAAAGTCCAAATGCAATATATGTGATCTATTTTAATGAAATATTAACTCTAATAGTTAATTTTTAAAAATATCCATTGAGGATGATATATAAATTTTCAAACAATTATCACTAAAATATTAGCCTTTAACATCAGTAATAAAAGAGTTATTTCTTTTAAAGGGCTTATTCCTTATATTATTTTTAAAAAAATCAGTGAATTAAGAGTACACGATTTATAGGAGGAATATAACTCTTTTTGAATTTTTTACCAATCACATAATTAATTTAATAGTAATATCTTTACCAAGTAAAATAAAATTTTAATTTTTATATTCAAGTTTTAACTATACGGCCTACAACTAAAGTGAGCAAAGAAGTTCAACATATGAAATGAGTAAAAAAAAATAAAATAGAGTTACCTTGTTATTTAACTTATAAAAAAAATTTCATGAATTTTTTTTATAATTACATCATTTTCGTATAACAATAAATTAATATGCTGATAACTTATAAATAATAACTGAGAGGAGTTTTTTATTTTATAATTTAATATAATATAAATTTTAAATTACAAAATAATTTATTAAAATTATATTTAGTTATTTTCCTTTCTACCCCTATCCAAGTAGTTGATCCACATTATTACTTGCCTCTACCCAACGTCATTTGAGATGGAACTACAATTGGAATGTATTATTTACTTTAATCAAGCCAATTTTGTAATTTAAAAAAAAAAAAGAAAAAAACTTTCCCTCCCAAAAAGGATAAAAATATACTTAAAAGGCTTAGTTAGATTTTTTTTTTTTTTTTTATAATTAAAGATTTATTTTTAATATTTCTCCCTTTTACTCCTTCCTTCCGTCACACCATTTTGCTCCACGCGCATAACATCGCCGTTTCCACTTTCTCTTCTGGACAGACAAAACCCGTGGTGGATCTATCCCCTCCTCCCTCTCCTCTCCTCTCCTCCGCCCCTATCACCGCCATCCCCCTCCTCTTCCTCTTCCACTCCAGGAGGAAGAAATAGCATTCCTCCATTTCCAACCTCAGCTCTCAGATTTCCTTTCCTCTACCCATCATGCCTTTTCTTCAGATCTGTCTTCACTAACCCTCTTATTTTCTCCTTTCCAATTCCACTCAGGAGTTCTCTATCCTCATTACGGCAATTTAACTTGCTGGTATTAAGGAAGATGGGCAGTGTCCGTCCAGATCCGTCGTCCAGAATCCATCCGGCCCCTATCGACCACTTCGACCGCTTGCCTGACTCTCTCCTTCTCTTAGTCTTCAACAAGATCGGCGACGTCAAGGCGTTGGGACGATGCTGTGTGGTTTCCCGTCGGTTTCATTCACTCGTTCCTCAGGTTGAGAACGTTGTTGTTCGGGTTGATTGTGTCATTTCTGATGATGATTCCTCCTCCTCTTCTTCATCCTCTGACAAGTCGCGTATTGCTGGGCCGTTTTCGTGTTTGTTTCGGCTTGTTTTTGGGGGCATTGTGAAACCCCTTCAAGCGCTAGTTCAGTTTCTGGGCCCTAAAAGGGGGACGGCGAGTGATGGTCTTGGGACTGGTTCTTCTTCTTTGTTTGTTGGTAGTGGAGGTGACGATGACCGGGAGATGGACCAAGGCGGGGTCACGCATCACTCCCCTACGCAGGTATTGAGAAATTTTAACGAGATTCGGTTCCTCCGAATTGAGTTGCCCGACGGGGAGCTGGGGATCGATGATGGTGTGTTGTTGAAGTGGAGAGCGGATTTCGGGTCTACCCTTGACAATTGCGTGATTCTCGGTGCTTCTTCCGTCGTCAACAGTAAGAATTCGCTGGTGCAGGAAAGTGGGGGTGATGGAATTTGCGTGGGCGGTGGTGCTGACGATAATGGGATCATACCCGAATCCTTTTACACGAACGGGAGCTTGAAATTAAGGGTGGTTTGGACGATTAGCTCATTGATTGCTGCATCTGCGAGGCATTATTTGCTTCAACCAATCATTGCAGAGCACAAGACCCTTGATAGCTTGGTTTTGACCGACGCTGATGGGCAGGGGGTGCTCTGTATGAATAGAGATCAGCTTGAGGAGTTAAGAGTGAAGCCTTTATCAGCTTCTTCTGCCTCCAAGAGAACGCTTGTTCCGGCGCTGAACATGAGGCTGTGGTATGCTCCCCACTTGGAGTTACCTGATGGAACAGTGTTGAAGGGTGCAACTCTGGTTGCAATTAGGCCTACCGAGCAGTCTGCCTCCAAGAAGGAGGTGTCTGATGGGTCTTGGTTATTGAATGCATTCCAGGAACCATATGGTACTGCAGCTAAGATGCTTGTAAAGAGAAGGACATACTGTTTGGAGATGAACTCATTCTGATCTACGAGGTAAATTTATAAAACTTGTTTTCCTTTCTAGGTTCTGCATATTTTGGTTGAGTTCTCTGTTGATTACATTGTTTGATATTATTGCAACTTTGAATATGAGGCTATGGGTCAAAAAAAATTAATCTAAAGTAGTTTGTGATTTATATCTTTATTTGTTATTTAATCTTGCTATATAAAATATATGTGCTTTATTCACTTTAGGGCCATCAGAACATCTTTTCTTAGTTTTAAACTTACATGTTTTTGGTCCTTTAGGCTTCATATTCATGAAGTTATCTTATATCCAAAATGCTTAAATCTGTTATTTGCTTTTATCTCGAGTTTGGGGGAAGAGCATGATGTTATGTTAGGGACAGAAATAATGGGTTAAAAATCCAGTTTGCATTCTCCGAAGGCACATGAGAAATAAATAAAATTTTCTTACTTGAATAAGATGTTCATGGTCAAGGTAAGGTTTCTTATATTTTATTCATCCCTGCAATTAACAGGCCTAAGATCATTCAGGTTTCACTCTTACAAGCAGAAGAGATATGCCCTTTATTTTGCCCTGTGTTTTGTTTGGGATCTGCTAGTTCTGCTTTGTATGATGCATCTCATAAATAAAAATGTACTATGGCTTTTCAGGTAAAGCCCAATGGTTAAAGGAAGAAGAAATATGCATGCTCTCAGAAGAAGAAAATCAGGCAACAATTTTGTTTAATAATAGTTTAAACTTAGTGCTGAGTCCCATGAAGCTTAAATCTAGCTGTGGACCGCCAGTGGAAAACAAAACGTGCATATTCTTAAAGCACTGAAAGTCTCATGCGTGAACTGATAACCCAAATGCATCTGCTGGTTATTTTTATTCGAGGCATATGCTTTAAGAGTACACACCTGCAACTAAATCAATATTGTAAGAGCTTTGAGTTTGTAGTTTTACTATATCCATAATCCCCCTCCCCACATGTGAATATTGTAGGTATGAATATGTCATGCTTATGTTATATACTTCTCAAGTTCATCAAGCAATGTAGTTTTCCTTTAGCTTAACGTTTCTTGGATGAATAAAATGTTAGCCACGTTATTAAATCTACTATCCTGTCATTGCAAATTATTTAGATGGTTTAACTGCGAAGTAGAGGGTGTATGATGGAGCAGGATTTGCTTTTGCATTTGTTGCTATGATTCAATAAACAGGATTTGATTTCACTACATGTTCTTTGTTCCTTCCTTTTTTTTTTCTTTTTTTTCTTTTTTTAAATCTCGGGTTATATGATAAAAGGCAACCTCTTCCATCTTTTAACTCATCTTATTCACATACATCAGTCTTCTCTTATGTATATCTTAGATTGCAAGATAAAAGACGATCATCTTTCATCCTTTAACTTATTTTGCATATTATGTAATTCGAATTCAAAATTTATTATTTCAATTAGAAGGAAATTCTCACTAACTACTTAGGTTGTTGATTCACTGCACGTTCTTTAGTTTTACTTCTAGGCTGTTATAGTGATAAATTAAAGGAGAAGAAGGTGAAGAATCTATCTCGAGACCATGAGTATGGCTATTCAGTCTTCATGATTAATGAGCTCCTTGGTCAGCATTCGTGGTCACTTTTCATGAAGTTGTCAATTTAACGAATTTAAGATAGAACTTCCTGTCTTCTTAGATGCTTGATATGCTTCCAGGTTAGATCCATCTATGGACAATGATGTGATACTGATCCAGCACTTGGAGTTGTCGGAATTTGTAGGCCTTTGAAAGTAATGTGGCATGGCATCTCTTTTTGTAGTTGTGCTGAAATGGGAAGATGCCTTGCTTCTACCATTTCCCTCATGTTAAATCATCCATATGCTAATGCTAGATATGCTTCTGGATGTTTTAGTCCTTCCCTAAAGTGCTGTCCTTCTCTTCCCTTTGTATTTGGAAACACCCTGCTTCTCAGGCCTTTAGCTGTAATCATTTTTAGGAATTATCATGTTTAGTTTTGTGTCCCCTCGTTTTTCCTTTTTTGTTTTTTTGTTTTTTTCTTTTTACCAGAAAATTAAAGCAAAAAAGAGACCTTGAATCAGAGGAAGTGGTGGGTCTAGGTATTTACAGTTTTGAATTAATGATTTAAAACTACATATAGAATTCAAACAGTTTCTAGAAGCAGCAAGTGCCAGCCGTCATTTTCTTTATCATGAATGAGAAAGAAAGAGAGATAATTATTTTGCATTAATTTCTTATTAAATTAGAGGAAGACATACAGTTAGAGATCAATCATTTGACTGTTTATTTTTCTCATTTATTTATTTCTTGAGGTATGGAAATCAAAAACTGATAATTGTAATGTCATGCGAACATTTTAAACTTAAATCGTGATACATGATGTTATTCATTCAATAATACATTATGATCATAAGCTAATAATTTTAAATGACATTATAATTATATTATCGTAAATGAAGATACAACAATGAAGTTGGAAAAGTTCAGGAAAAGGCTATTCCTCTTAAGAAAATCTACACTGAAAGAGGTTTCACCTCTTAAAACAACACATCTACAAAGATTTTCATAAGCATTACACTTTGAGATATAAAATTTTTTCTATTATTTAGTTCTAGAAATTATTTATTCGAATTAATTAGCTGGTTCTGCTCCCCTCTTTATCTGTTTATCACATGAGCTTTCTTACTCTCTTTGTTTCTTTTCAATCCCCCACGTGAATGAAGTTTGGACTCTGCTTCATAATTCAGACACTCTTGTGATGAAGGGAAGATCCAAATCCGCCTTGACCTTCCCCTGTTTTGATGCATATGATAACTCTTAACCAAAAATAAACAAATAATTGAGGAAAAGAAATTGGTATCATAGTTGGAGGTATATCATGCTTGGCTTAATATAAAGAAGCTATATGACAATCAAGCCCCACATGTTTATTCTTATGCCGGCAATAGTTGAGTTTATGAGAAGGAAAAGGCAATCGAAATCAGAGGGGAAAATTAAAATTGTCAGGCACCCCATCTTATTTATCAGTATTTAATTATTAACCTTTGCTAATGAATAAAATAAATTTTGTAAGTTCTTTAATTTTAACGAAAATAACATACCTTTAACCGACCAAAGAATTTGAATTTTATTATTATATGCACAATTTCATCATATTTTATTTTGTTTTATTTTTGGTCATTTCTTTGGCTCCTCCCACTTTCTTTTCCAGGCACATCACATTCGAGTGCCTTCCTTCAACTCTAAGCCATCTTCCCTCACTAAATTAAATAAGGTCAGTATGCATTATGAGACAAGTTTTTTTACATTTTTCTTCAGCTTTGATTCTCCTTCTCACTTTCAAATCAATTGTATGTCTAACTTTAAGAGTTTAATAAAGTTGATATTCATTTATTCATAAACTAAAATATAATTCATCTTACATTGACTATATTACAATATTCTCTTTAGTAGTTTTAATAAAATTTTAATTATAGAGTTAGTCTCTTTAGTAGTTCTAACAAAATGTTAATGATAGAGTTAATTTCTGAATTCAAGCGTTAATAATATCTAAGCTCAAACTTATACTCCGATTAAGAAAACTTGGAATCTAGAATGGGTAGAAATGGCCTCTTTCTTTAACCATGTAGTCTTTTATATGACTTCAAGAAATTTTAGTTGATAGTATATAGAATATACTGCAAATTTCTAGGCACCCTTTTGCAGGCACTTTTTAAAGATACCTGCAAAAGGGCAATCAAAAAGAACAACAGACTTTAGCGTAAATAAGGATGTTTTCCATGAAAGGCTGGCTGTGAATGCAGTGAAAGGGAAGCATCAACCATGTCCTTTTGTCTAGGGATTCTTTTGAGAACATGCCATGCCTGATGCCTCCTCACCTTTTGTGGGCATTTCCCCAAGTCTGAGTGTCCGTTGCTTTTATGAACTTTTTTAGCCAATGTCGCTTCTATGATTAAATGCATTAAGTCATAGATCAACATTTCAATCCAAGGATTAAAATAAAAGTATGGTTAACACTTAAGTGCTCCAGTCATAAATTTTTTTTTTCCAGCTAAAATAAGAGATTATAAATTTAGATCATTGACATATGAGTTGAATGAGTAAAAGACAGTGAAAATTAAAATAAAGGTGAATAAAAAGTGCAAATCCAAACTCGGGTGTGAAAATCAACACCTCTTAATTTATGTAAAACTAACAAATTAAAATTAAAATAAATAGATGAATAAAAAATAAAAAGTGCAAATCCCCGTCAAAAGTGTGAAAAATCAACTTCTGCTAATTTATGTAAAGTCTGACTCACGTGCCATCTGACTCAAAACAATAATAATGGGAAAGAAACCATTTTTCTTTAGGCAAATGAGGAAGAAACCAATTGAATATAGGCAAACCAGAAGAAATCAATCTGATTTGCAAAAAGATTGGTCTGAAGTACAATGAGCCTTAGCCCATTAGAAGTCAGTTCAAGATATTTGGGCTCATTTGGTTAATTGAATGCAATTTAAAATCTACTTGTGGAGAAAACAGCATCCCAGGACCTCAACGAAGTCCTAAAAAAGATTGAAAAACGCATAAGAAAATCAAGTTTGATTTTTTCTCAAACTAGGACAGTTCTGGGACATGGAACGATGACCCTACCCCATTCATTCACAAGGCCACCTTGTTGCTCAACCAAAATTATAGACAGATTGAGGATCATTCTAGACAAGAAGGGGAAAAAGAATAATAACTCCAATCGAATCGTTTTGTTGAAACACACAATGCTTTTGCACGCATAGATAAATATATCATAATTAGCAAATGCCATGGAATGACTTCAAATGGATTAAGCAGAAATAATAACAATTCCGGAAGAAGACAATGATAAAGCATCAGCAGATGCAGGGAAGGAATGCATTCACTCACAGCTCTTACATCTACTGCTTCTCCATCTCTGCTTTCCTGCATAAAATTATTTTAACAAAAGATTAGCATCATTTCTTGTCTTGCTACATAAAGAAACTTGTTGTGTCAAGTATTTCAGACAATCACAAGTAGGTTTGATAATGAGTTCATTCAACCATTTGGTAAATTCGTTCAGGGTTGAAGCTTCGAATACAACCTTCCTTTGGCCTCCCAAATGCACTGAAATGAAACGAAGTAAATTTGATGTCTAATTTATAGTTTAAGCAGTATCATTCACTCTACTTTGTGAATGTCCCCATTCCATAGGCAACAGATCTAGAATCCATAGAGAAGTATCAAAGAATAGTTTACCATCTAGAACTTAGTCAAGTTAGTATCTACTAACTTCTGGATCTTAATTCCATGGTTAAGGTCAGGAGCTAAAGAAAGAAAGAAAAGTTGGTAAAAGAATAACACAATAAAATCTTATCTAAAAAAGCTTCAATATGGACCTAAACCTGCATGTTTCTTTCCCAAAGGGCAAATTCTATATCAAGCTTCAGTGCTGCTTTTCATTCCAGTTCCAGAACTCAGCAAGTTTAGCACTGAACTCAGAAAATAAATGAACATCCCATAATAACCAAACAATTTGCTTTGTAACACCTTGTTGGTAGCCATAAACCATACACCAAAAAAAGGTGAAAGGAATGGAAGAAGCCACTTTTAGTGCCGTTCATATGCAACTGATGCTTTTCATGTGCCTGCCTTTTCTCTCGCCCTAGCTAGCACTGAAATGAAAAGTAACCATTCTCCACCTATACTCTCACCCTACCCTGATGTCATGACTCAAACCTAAGACCTCAAGTTCTAGTCTTGTACTATTATTTACTAGTCTTGTATGATTTCCCCCAGATCCATCCATGCTCATAGTGGATACAGCAAGCGTAAGATTTTGACTCCCATTATTAGAGCAATTGTTGCTAAACTGCCCAAATAAGTACCATCCATAAAAGAAACCAACAATCTAGTCAAATCAATATTGTAGAATGCAGAAATTCTTAATATGCTTGACTAACCTTGCTGCAAGGAGGAGTTGATACATACCTTTTTAAGACTTTGGACTTAGAAGCAGTGTAGGAAAACCAAACTACCATGGGCAAGGCATGACATCTATCACGAATCATGTTGCCTAAAAGTTTAAGCTATGGCTTGAGAAAAAATATTAATCAATGATAACATTACTGACCCATTAAATCATGAAATATACAGATTGACTTTTGTCTAGTTAGATTACACATTTTATTATAACGACTACATCATATATAATCAATGAAAAATTTTAGGGAAACTAAAGATATGCTTCCTAAATCCAAAACTAGTATTTGCCTGACGTGGGGCAAGGAGACTAGATACCAAGATGAATAGAGTTTATATCTTAATAGATATCATGAGGACATTAGAGACAAGCGAAAGCAATTGTACATAGCCACAAATGAACACACCTGGGAATTAGGGAATGAAGTAAGATTGCTAAATTGTTTATACAGATCATAAAGCATAAACCAGAAGCATAATATTAATAAGAGATTTCATTGGATATTCTAATAAAATGGTAGATGCTTGGACATACAGAACTATATAACACGCAATTTTTGACACTATAATTGGTCCCAACAGTCTCCAAAATTCAACATTATTGTTGTGCAATATAGTGTTATATAAGCATTTACGTTTAGAAATCAATGCATAGAGATAAACAATTTTCAACATATTTATTTTTTTTAGTAAAAGTAGTATTATTAACTATTGCTAAGGTTTCAATGGACCTAAAATCCCTAAGAAACTTTTAACATTTAAAGAAAAAATGTGTCATAAGAAATAATAACTTATTAAAAAACATGTGTGTATGCTAGCACAAGATGAGTATCCAACCTAAAATCAATTGGTATTAGGCAGAGTAGCCTACCTTATATTTTATTATTTTAATAACTTGAGTAAGATAAGCATCAATAACTTTTTTTTTTTTTACCTCTAATAGTATACATAACTTGATCAAGAAAACCTTAAAAATCAGTAAATGGTGAGGCAAAGCATATTTTTCTATCAACAAGCAGCTAAGTATATTGAATTGAATTGTGATATTGGATTGAAATTTCTTATTTATTTCTTGTCAAGTTCGGTAGTCTTTATTATGGTATCTCACAGATTGCCAAACCAGATTAGGATTTCTTTCTTTCTTTCTTCTTCCTTTTTTTTTTTTTTCTTTTTTGGTATTGTTCTATGCTAGCATTTACATGTGAGTTTCATTGCAATGAAATATCAGTTAAGAGAATTAGAATATCGAATAAGAATCAATTGTATTTTATAAATGACCAAAGCAATATACGATCGTAAAAAAATTAAAGGGTTTAATTTTTTTTTTATTAGTCCCATTTACTTTTTCTTAGATTTTTTTTTCCTTGAATTTTTTTTTCATGAACCAAAGCAAGCATTAGCTTTTTTTTGAAAGGCATAGCATTAGCTATTGTAATTTATGAATCTTTGATATAGTTGGGAACTAATTAACAAAGGGAAGGATTTCAATCTCCTAAAGGAAAGAAATCTCTAGCATAGAGTAAGAGCCCGTTCGGCAAATTACTTGCTTATAAGCTCTTCTTACTTTGATTTTGACAAAACTTGTGACAATAGCTTTTTTTGGAAATCGCTTATTAGCACTTCAAATGCTACTATAAAAAGCAATCTGTTATCCAACAAGTTTTATGAAAAATCAAAGCAAAAGTAACTAAGAAGCAAGTAGCTTTGCCAAACTCATCATATCCGCATGTATACATATCCCCAGTTTCACACAAAACTAGCTCAAAATTGTCAAATGTTATCTAATCCTTGTTCTATCTTTTTGTATGTGGGTTGAAGTACTCCCCTATTGTTAAGACTACTTGCTATTCATACTCCCACCAACTCACTTCCATGTTAAACCCCAACTTCTTCATAACAATTTATAGTTGCTTACATTTTCTTTACCAAAAATTTTCCAAGCTTCAAAGCAAAAACCTCATTATAAAATTATTATCAAATTGGAATTTCTTTACCAACCTCAAAATTTATTGTTGCTGCTTTATGTTGCACTTTATTTTATACCATCCCAAAGCAAACTTCTCCAATTTAAGCTGATTTTGGCATTGATAAACCGATCTTACCAATTTAATTCTACTCTTGATTAGAATGCTATATATTTTGGATTTCAATTATGCAAAGCTTTCTTATTCAAACTTTTCAAATTTATTAATACTTCAATTCTATAATACCTTGCACTCACTTGAATAATATTAAAAGTGTTTAAATTTATATTTTATCCTCGTTCTTTTTATTCATTGCTACATCTCAATTTTAGTATAGAAAGAGTTAAACTCTCAACCTTCCTTTGATTCACAAATATGATTTTTTTTTATTTAAATTAATCATTTTGGCTTCTTGGATAACAGTCAAAATTCCAAACTCTAATTTGAGGAAAATAACTGAGTTTCTTTACGCACATAACAATGGGACCACAGAATGTTTTCATGGGCAAGGAAGAGATGACAATTCCTAGTTAGAATGCTTAGAACCTTAACCTTGATTCTTTTTTTCTTTTTTTGATTTTGGATTGCTTATCCCTCAACTCACCCCACCTACATGTCATGTGACTTGAATTCAAAATCTTTTACTTCCAACGAAAGGAGATTACCACAAAACAACTTAGGTTATTAGTACCTTAACCTTAATCTTAAAATCAAGGTTTCTAACACATTAGCTGAGACGAACCAAGCTAAACTCTTGTAGATAGATCTTGTCATTAATAAGTTAAACAAAACCAATAATGATTAGGCTACTACAGAACTTCAATGCAATCAATTTTTTTTATCAGCCAACTACAACGCAATCATATTGAAACCTGAATTCCCCCTACATTTCATTAGCCTCTATGACTATCTAATACTGCATTTTTTTTAATAAAAAAAAATATATAAATTATACCACATATTACATATGAAATATAGATTGCTCAACTTGCTAGATTCATTCAACTAAATTTTTTATTCCTGTAGACCCAGTAAATAGCTCCAAAACTGTTCCTTCTAGAACATCCAATAGTTTGAACATGAGATTTCTTGATAAGAATTGTGAAGCTAACCTTCAGATAGTCATGATCAAGGAGAGGAGCGTTAACAACACTCTTATCACTAATTGATAATAGTTTTATATTTAATTAAATATATTAATTTTGACTCTCCCCATTTATCATTAATCACACAATCAAGTTATGTACCACATGCCCATTAACAAAGAGACTGTAAAAAAAGTGTTTCCAACACTCCTCTATCTCCTAATCAATTAAAGTTATTTTAAAAGATTAAGCTTGAAGTTAAAAATTAATGAAATATGAGCTTAAGCAAGGAAAAGGAGAAAAATGATAATTATTGGTTATAAAAAAGGAAGTTAAAAAGGGAAAAAGCAAGCATGTTAAAGTGTTTCACAAAAGAAATCTCTGCTGAAAATTTAAAGCATATTTTATTTAATCAAACTTCAGCTCCAACTAAAGGCTATACTTAATAGATTTGTCTTTTGGGCTGCAGCCACCCTCTTACATCATCATCATCAATCTCAAATTCCACAACCACTGCTGCTATGTCATGTCTTTTCTTAATTCACTCCATACAACGTTAGTCTTGTTCCACCCAAATTTTACACTACCATATCCCTTTAACCTGTAAATTGTTAGTAATTTTATTCCCCAAGGTTTCACAGTTGGAAAGTCAGCCTGTGTCCATGTACTTTTTCAATGATTTAAAGATCTGCTATATTAACTCTAGGCAATTTGTAAGAAATCAAAATCCACGGAAAATAATGCAAGAATCCGACAGTAAGCCGATACTTGGCCATGTGGTGGAGCTCAAGAGGTGAAAGAAAAAATTGGGATTCTAAAGCTACCAAAACACTGTCATTCTAAAAGCAGCTTTGCTCTATTCAGTGCCGTACACATGGCTTCGACCGCAGAGAAACTAACATCTGGCATGGACTCAAATGTTAGGGAAAAGGAAACCAAGAAGGAAACAATCGAGGAGACAAGCAGCCGATTCCTAGTCAACACAATCCATGCAGGAATCATAAAAAGGCAATATGATACATTAACTTCCATAAAAATAATGCCCAATGGTGGGGTTCTTTATGGATACCCAGAAAACTAATCGATTCATGGTACTATGCAAGACACGTAAATCCAAAAGGCAGTCCAAGAAAAACTATGGACGAATAACTAAGAACCCTAGACAAGAATTAACCAGACCAACAACCACAAAATTATTTGAATATAATGACAAAAACAAGAAGTTGACGCGATGGAAATGGGGCAGTGGAGCTTACCAGATAGGGAAGTGGAATGTGCAGTTCCCAGAAGTGATTAGTTCTTTCCTTTTCCCTTCTGGTCTGAGTTCCTGCTTCCATCCCCGTAGCAGAGCTGTAACCGGCCATCAAATACAGCTGGGAACTGGTGGTGGTGGTGATTCTCCTCAGGTAGTGTACCAATGAAGAAGGGTGATCCGTCTAAATGAGATGAATACCTCTGGTGATGAGGCAAAAAAGACGGTGAATTGGACTGAAGGGTCCCCCTGTTGAGACCAGCAAGGCCGGAAGAAATGGTGAAGCTGCGGTTGTAATCGGCTCCTGGCCCTGGTTGTGTAGTCGCCACCGGGATCAGATGGTTGGGAACAGATGAAAAGTGCTGCAACTCTTGATGATTCTCACTTGAGACGTTAAACGGAGGGATGGACATTGTCTGCTGCAGAGAGTTTCCCAATTGGACTTGCCCTAAAAACCCTGAAGAATGGTGACCTCTTGACGAGGATGGCCCAAGCAGTCCTCCTGCCCCGAAGTAATCCATCGCAGTTGCAGGCCACTGTCGGATAGTCGCGGCCTTGTGGAACAAATTAGCCTCGCCGTTGGGGTTTTGCTGATCCGAGGCGGAAGGAGGACTACTATTACTGTTGTTGTTGTTGCCAACGCCGCTGCCAATACCACCGGTGAGAAGCTCAGTGAAAGAAGCATTTTGAGAAATTTGGTTTACATTCTGGTGCTGTTGAATCCGAGACTCATGCTCTTTCTCCTTGTCTTTTGCTGCCCTCTCCCTAGCACGCTCCCGAGCTTTGACCCGATTCACGCGGATCTCCGACCTCGAAAGGGACAAAGTGGAGTTCTTGCTAGTCTCAGAGGTGCTGCTACAGGCGGATTTAGACAAAGAAAGATGCTGGCTTTGGTTTTGCTGATAGTTGTTGGGGTCACCATCTAGCTCCGCTTCAGCTGAGTCAAACCCTTGTTCTGTACTCCCATTTGCCCTCTTCTCATCACTCAATTGCTTCGGCGTTTCAGGAAATGAACCGTTCAGGGAAGGAAGCTCCGCAATTGCCTCGGCAGCAGCTTTAATCAGCCACTCCACCGCCTTACTAGGCTGGTCATAGCCCAACCGATCTTGCAGATCGTAGAATTGAATGGCTGTGGTCACCGATAACCTGACCCTCCTGTCTCTTGGTCCTTTCGAGGTCCAGACCTTACTGTGCCGATCTTTCCCACCTGACGCGCGAGAAACCCTAATAATTCTCGAAGAGTGGTGCCACCCACGAAGCCGATTTGCAGCACCGCCATCACCACCGGTGGCTCCACCATTCATCCCACCCCTTTTGATGAGCTCTCCGTCTTCCTCATCATCAGGGTAGTTCTCACTCCCCTTCTGACCTATCTTGCCAGACTCATTTCTTCCATTACCAATTCTTGGGAATTTGCAACCGTCCTCCACCTCCATACCACTTTCATTACTTTCCTAATCCACAACTCAAAACCCCAACCCCCAAGTACTTCCCTCTTTAATTTCTTTCTTAGATTCTTATCGTACTTGAAGAAAAGAAGGAAAATTACACAGAGAGGAAGAAATTAACCAAGCCGGTGACTTTGGAGAGAGAAAGAAGAGGTGTAAAGAGATTGCAGGTGGGGTTGCAGTGTCCTTTGCATTGATGACGATGACAGAGTACTTTAGCTAAGTAGTGATAAAAGGACCTCCTTTTACGCTTGGATATATCACGGTCTAAGTCAGGAAGCTAGACCCTTCTATCGTTAAAGCTTTTTGCAGTTGCAGAGTGATTTCAGAAGCAACAAAGCCTGCAAAAATGGCAGCCACAGCCTGCAACCAAAAGCCAAAAAATAAAAATAAAAACCCCAAAACCCAAAAATTACACTAAAAAGCATATGATAATATATATGATACTTAAATTATTAAATTCGTCTCCAGACTAACAGAAGCAATTAGCCCACTCCATAGCTGGGATCTGACTCTAGCTATTGTTGTTTAAAAAAAAAAAAACCTAGCTAAAGGTTTGTTTTAAAGACCATGAGCTTTAATAAAAGTTGTAAATATAAAAGGCCATTGTAGCTAAAAAAATAAGCTAATATACCTTGAATCGGAACCCTTCTCTGCTTCACAACAAAGCTAAAGAAAGCAGTAAATTGGGTATGATTCGCCGATCTGTGCCGACCGTTTTTCTGCTTTCTCTGTGTAAACATGGCAGACACCAATATGAGCTTAGAAACTTAGAAAAAGGAATAGTAAAATGATAAAACCCCATTAATAAATCCTGTTTCTTAAATTACCAACAAAGAATTTAAATTTTCCTGTTAAGAATAGACAGTAATAATCGAATTTTATTACTCACTTTTTTAGAACAATGTTCGGTGTTTAACAAGTGTCGAGCTTTCGGATAATAAATGTAGATTTTGAATTTTTCTATTTCTTCTTCTTCTTCTTCGTTGATTGGAGGGAACAGATCTTCGTCGTATAGAATACCAGACTTCGCAGATCTGCAGTTCTTTAGCTTTGTGGGTAAGATTCAATTCCACAGATCAAAACCTGCATATATTATAAAAAAATTCAAATTAAACAAAAATCTTCAGATATTACTCGATTAAATTGATAAATATATCACCCGTTCGTCACTCCAGTCTAGAATTAAATCTCAAAATTAAAGCAACACGAACAAGAAGAGAGATAGAGATCGGAAGTTGCTGAAACAGAAGGATGGAACAAGAACCTTGGTGCAGAATTTTCCTTCGTTTCGAGTTTTCAGCGTCACTAGAAAATGCGAGGCTCTTTCGGTTTTTCTTTTCCTCCTCGTCCTTCCTCGTCTTCAGCTACCTCTGTCTCCGGCTTCTGTAGAAATGAAATCAAACCTCCATGAGTAACTAGCAAGTAATACTTCCTCGAAGAATTTTAGTGGAAATTTCGAAGATTCGAAGACTTACAGTGTGAGGTTAGGGTTGAGTGTTCGGCGCGAGAGAAAGTGAAGGAAAATCCAAGAAAATGGCAAAGTGAGGTTGTGAGAGTGGAAGAAGGTGAAGAAGAAAGAAAGAGAGAAGCTTTCATTTCATTTCATCTCATCCGCCATTCGAGAGCAAACTCGCCGGGCTTATCGGGAAAGCACAGACACTGCGCCGTTCCAATCCACAACAATATATGCCCACCTCTCCTTTTTATTTACTAAATTGCCATTTCTAAATTATTAATTTGCTTTAACCTTGAGATAATTATTTTTGTTTCCTTCCATTTGTTTTTTCCTTTTTATATTTTGCTTTTTCTTTTTTCAAAAATTTTTAAATTCTGCTGTTAGAAATGCCAAAAATCGGGAATCAAAAAATTAATTTTTTTTAGTAGTAATCAGCTTGAAATATAGTATATAACTTTTAAATTTTCCCAAGTACTTCTATATTCCCAGCTGATTTCTGTTTTTTTTTTTTACAAGAATCACCGAAATATTTGGTAAAAAATAAAAATATTATGTTTGGTGATTAGTCAATTTTTTATTTTAATTTATGATATATCTATACAATTTATAAACATCACAATTTATGTCAATTTTTACCTAAGAGGATCCAAAAACTCGAAAGGTACCCTCTTAGAAAAACTTACAATTTAGTCTACTAAACATAATTAATAATTTTCTGCAAACTACCACAAATGATATTAACTACTGTTAGCAGAAGCAAATTTCAGGGTGAGTTCCTGGATTTGGCATGCATGCATGCATCCCTCACCTTATATACAGGAGGCATACAGTGATGAAATTAAAAACATTGCCTATACCTTCCTGAATCAATGGGCTTCTTATCAAGTGTAATGACAATGCCAACTCAAAAGGATTCTTTCATTAGTAAATATATGTACCATTATTATCATCATTCATCAATTTATTTCACTAAACCTGGTCAAATTATTTAATGAAAAAGGTTAACCATAAAAGGGCTACTAGTGTAGCATTTATGTTAAGAATCGTGGGATATTGTAACCACAAAATACATTAGTTTGTGGGGGGAACTCAATTCCCATCCTATCAAAATTGAAATAAAACTCAAGCCTAGTAGGGGCAAAAGAAAAAGAAGAGCAAAAAGAGAGTGATATATGACAGTAAATCGACTTCACATTAGTTGATGTCCTTAAAAGTGTGTTAAAGATATATATAAAAAATTTTATCTTTGAAATTTTTTAACCAATTAAAATATATTTATGATATAATAGAATTTATCGATCTATCAACAGCTATATGCCTGTTGTTAGAATTTGGTAGGTGAATTATTTGAATTAGTTTTGCCTATCTCATGGTCGTGATGTGCACTAATGGTCCCAACTCCCAACTGACCCTCGAGTCCAAGATTTTAAGTCTTGGATCTTCAGGTTCTATCTAGTAGCTAGGGAGGCTAGGGCTAGCTACTTAACCTAAGGCATAATTAAGGTTAGTTTAAATTTCATCAGAAACGCAAATATCTTGTTGAAAATTTTATTCAAACCTGCACCATATGGGAATTATATGGTTATAATTTCATCTTAATGACAATATATTCAAGTGTCATCAGACAATTTTCATGTTGATCCTTGATTAGTGTTTAGGAGGCGCCCTGGTGGGGGACACTCCTAGCAAATTAGGCATTAGCACATGACAACTTATGTACCTATATACATGTAGACTTTTTCACTATGATGCTTTTTGCCATAAATATATGCTTGAAAGTTGAAGTGTGTGAATTTCTACAAAAATAATGAACTCAGGAATTCAATTGAGATTTGGGATTTGACCAGTCAAGTGTTTGTTATCAGATAGTAATTGACAATTGAAAGCATCGGTTGATGAAAAATTACCAATATACTACTAAGTTTCACATTAAAAAAAAGGGGTTCTTTACGAAGAATAATCCAATTATGAGTTTGTACATTTTAATTTTGAAACCTAGAATTCAAGGTTTTTTTTTTTTTTTTTAATAACAACAAGATGTTTGTTTATGTTAAGTAAGTATAAAAAGGACTATAGCCCATGCATCAAAATAATTTATTTACACAACATGAACAAAACATAAGACCTTCCCATATTTTGGACTTGCGTTTATACTCATCCAGTGGTTACCTTCAATTTCCTTGCCTTTTGGGTCAACTCAAAAAGATTTGGAATATGAGCTCCATGCAAGGGGTTGTTGGAGAATGTATGCCGGCAACACCTGAGAAACTTTGCGGTGTTGATTCTTGAATTAGACCACAATTTCCTGTATACATATCTGAGAAAAATAGTTGAATCTTTAGCCATGACTACCTAACTTAATCACCCAAAGGGCACGGCGAGGAGGTAGAGCTTTGCACAATAAGGATAATTTGGAAAAAAAAAAATGTGATATTATATAAGGTCGTAATATGTAATTAAAATCTTGTTTCACTTTATGTAATCGTTAAATTAATTGAACTAATAATTTGATTGAAATTATATTATGACATGCCAATTTTCCAAGCTTTCATCTGCTGCAATTATTGTACCCTTTGTTTTCAACTTATGTAAAGATAGAAACTTTACTTCAAAATAATTAAACTTCATACCCTTAATTCCGAATTTAACCAAAATTCATGTTCTTGTTTTTTTTAGTTTTGCCTTGTTAATCTAAAATCTCTAAATTGAAAGTATGTATATTTATCTTCTCAAAAAAAAAAAAAAGAAAAAAGAAAAAAGAAAGTTATGTGTACTTAAACAAAATTACACAGCAATAAAAACCCTACTTTTGATTGGCAGCAATGTAAATACAAGAAGATGCAAAGGCAAATGCATGTGGAGATGAGGAGAGCCCAAAGTACATGAGTGAGAAAAGTAAAGGTTTTCCCCACCACCCAAATGTCAAGTTGAGAACTGGGCAACTTGCTTAGTCTCTAAACTAATTATGAAATCTTTTATTTCCTATTTATTTAGTTAGGAAGGGGTAACTTAAATTTTTAATTGATTAGTACTTTTCAAAAAAGAAAAAAAAAAAAAGGGAAAGATTTGAGGGCATTAAGGGATTAATTAATTAGCATTTACCCGTACGTGTAATGATGTGTCTCTTTGCCTCCGACCCCTAAATAATGTACACTAATTAGTTATGGAAGCAGCAGAAACTACTGTTCTCAAATAAATTGGCAGCTTTGGAGACCCAGCGGCTCTTCACTTATGTTTAAGGGTTGTTTACTGTAATAATTTAAAATTAATGGTTAATAATTTCATATAATTTAATAAATGAACGTATTTATATTATTAATAATGATAATTATTCTTTGATTGGTTTTAAACTATTACAGTAAACAACTCCTTCATTTCATATTAAATTAACTACAATATTTTTGGAAAAATGATAGTTATTTTGTTTACTGATAGAATGTTATTGAATCAAAAAGCAAAACTCTTAACATCTTAACCTTGAATGATTCTTACCATTTACTCCTTAATAGGGCTAACCCCTCGAGAGTTTCTTTTATTCTTACTTATTTAAAATTTTTAGAAATATGCACAGAATAATAACTATCAAATATTTTCAATTGATTTGGTACGTGTGTTCTCAATTATATTGAGATGCTTCAAACCCCACCTTTCAATTAATAACAAAAACAAAATTCTGAATTTTGAAATTTTAAATGGAAAGCAATAATTTCACCATTCAAAAACTAGAAATGAATCTTTCTCTAGAGAGGAAATAATTTGTCTTGGCCCCAGTTTTGGAATTTTATGTAATTTATCTTTTCCTCTGTCTTTAATTTCAATTTTTCGATCCTGCCCCTATAATTAGTTTGTTCTTTTCCTTCTTTCTTTTCAATTATCAAAATGAATCAAACCACCCAATCCATTATATATATATATATATTCCAACATATTTAATTGGGAAAGTTAGTAGTAGCTCACATTTTAGATGCCCGTCAACAGAAAAGCCACTAGAGCCTGTTGCTAAAAAATTAATAAAGCCTCCATTTCCACATCTTGACCTTCCCAGATTCTGGTTTTTGGAATCTTTGCAAACAAACATATACCCAATTTTCTGGAAGACCTAAGATGCTATTGGAACTTTGGGGAGAGGCTTTATTTAAATCATTGATCAATTTATTTTTGTAAAATCTTAACCTTAATCCGCCAATCACAATTACATCCCACAAAAAGTGCATGATCCTCAAAACTTTTGGGTTGAAAGAGAAATTGCCAAAATATTTTAGGTGATGCTTGGTTGTAAGAATAACTTCTTTCTTTTAAAATAAAAAATATATAAATTATAGTTCAGATAATATTAAACTATAAAATACTAAAAATTTGATCAGTCTAATCCCTTAATTTGATGGCTAGTGATTTATAGTCAATATAGTCAAAACTATATATATTAGAAGATTCAAAGCTTTTTTTTTTTTTTTTAATTTACATACTTCAATCATTTGCCCTTAATAAGTGCAATCCTTCAAATCATGCTTAACATTTCACCCTAATGTTTAATAAATACTATACACTAATCTCAAAAAAAATTTTCAATTACTATTCTTTTTTTTTTTTAATTACTATTCATTTAAGGGTATTTCTAATTAACTTATACCCTTAAGAGTGTAATTAATACACATTTTAAGAATTAATTCTCATTAAAAAAATAAAAATAAAATTTTAATTAATCCACTAATCAATTAAAATCATACAAATGGCATTGGTATTAAAATTAATATTAGTTTTTACATTTAAAAGGTAAAAGGTATATTAATTACAACATTAACATTTATTCTTAAGGCATATGTTAACAAAACTTTTTCTTTTTGGTATAAAAGTTCAAATTAAGACAACAAAAACAAATGAGCAAGAGAAGTACTCCCTTGTATATGATTTAAGGGAGAGGTTATTGGCTAGACGACCATTTGTTAGGCCATAGAATTTGTTTAATTTTATCTCAATTGGGCTATTAAGAACATTAGATAATTAATAAAATAGTTGATATTGTTTAATAAATTAAAATGATTAATTTATAAATTAATTTTTTTAAACATTATAAGTAATTGTTTAACAAAAAAATTACTCTTATAAATAAACAAATAAAAAATTAATCAAATTGCGTGGCCGTAACCACATAACCACATTTATAATTTATTTGTCT